GATGACTCTGGTGCCTCCAAGTCTAGGAAATCACTCTTTGAAAAACTCTGAATTATGTGACCTCTCTCTAAATAGGTCTTATGGTTGAATAGGTGTCAACCAATAATAATCAGAACATTAATATAGATACAGATATTAAAGAGAGAAGCCAAAGGAAGGAAAATACAATAAGACTAAATTCAGATTGGGACTTTCTTAATCTTGGAATTTGAAGAGCATCAGAAATAACCACATACGGGCCGGCCCGTGGCTCACTTGGGAGAGTGCGGCGCTGGTAGCACCGAGGCCGCGTGTTCAGATCCTATATAGGGATGGCCGGTTGGCTCACTGGCTGAGCGTGGTGCGGGAGACACCAAACCAAGGTTTACGAATCCCTTACCAGTCACACAAAAAAAGAAATAACCACATACAGGTTTTGATTTGGAAAACAGTTACAAATGATAGCTTTCCTTCTCTGCCCTCCCAAAGCAATAGTTCAGGAGAATAGTTTGCTTTTTAAAAAATCGAAAACTGTAACTTTCTAGGTGAACAATGATGAACATACTTCCCTGTTTTTGAAGCACTTTCTTATAATCTGGGCCTAATGTAACTTCATTCTTTATATAAACACCTATATTTTTAAGCACTTTCCATGTGCCAGACATCACAATAGAAATATAGATAGGAAAAAACTGTAGAACCTGGCCTCAGGAGGATGCCCCCTGATGGTGGAGATATCACATACTCTTGTGGCCTTTCTCAAACTTGATTGAGTGCTATAAAGAGGCACTGAAGATGGGGATTGAAATGCAAAGGCTTACAGATGAGAGAGTGGGTGGACCATTCAAAGAAGTGCATTGAACTTGGTAGAGTTCAAAAGCAGTTTTCCTCAGAAAAAGGTAAGGATAGAGAAAGGCTGCACCACACGTATGTCATACCTAGCTGTTGCCCAGAAGGTTTACAAAGCTATCACGCAATTTCAAGCAGGAGAAAGGCATGATTAGAGTTGATTGGTGTAGAGATTGGGTTGGATGGGATGGCATGATTTTACTCCTTGCATGAGCATATTTGCTGTGGGAGCAGTGTGGAGAGTAGATTTAAGTGGGACAATGTTAGCGGCAGGGAGGAAGGCTTCAAAGATCACTGCTGCAGTCCAGCAACAATTCACGATCGCCTGAACTGAGGAAGTACGTACTCTACGAGGTCCTTGTGAAGTGGATCGGTGAGATATTAAGGAGGTAAAATCTACAGGGGGCTGAGGGAAAGGACACATCTACAACACCGCAGACTTATAAAACTCTGCTTTTTCTTCACAGCACTCATTACAATCAAAACTAATAACTTGTGTAATTGTGTGATGTCTGTCTCTCTCATTAGACTGTAAGATCCAAGAGGGTGGAAAGAATGTCTCTCTTTTTATCACCTCATCTCTAGTACTTACCAGAGTTTCTAGCACATGGTAGACACCCAACAAAAATTTGCTGAATTGGGCTGGCCGGTTAGCTCAGTTGGTTGTAGTACAGCCTTATTACACCAAGGTCACATCCATCACCACCCCCCCAAAAAAAATTATTGAATAAATATATGGAGTACGTAAGTAAACATGGGAGAAGGATGGGTATAAGGTGGAGACCAGGAGCTCAGGTTTGGACTGGTTAAATGAGACCTTTAAGGGGATATACTCCAAACAGGTAGTGGGATGTGTGGTCTGGAGTTCACTGGAGAGATATGGGCTGGGGCTGTGGATATAGGAGTTACCAATATGTAAAAAGGTTTGGACTGGTTAAATGAGACCTTTAAGGGGATATACTCCAAACAGGTAGTGGGATGTGTGGCCTGGAGTTCACTGGAGAGATATGGGCTGGGGCTGTGGATATAGGAGTTACCAATATGTAAAAAGTGGATTAGGGTGCCCAGGAACCATGCAGAATACAAGAAGAACTTAGAAACACCAACACTTAAAAAGTAGCAAAAAGAAGGGGACCCAGAAAAGGAAATCAGAATAAAATGCTGCCAAAGGGAACAGCGTCAAGTATGGATTTTTTTAAATAGGTGTCAAGTGCTCCAAAGGGGTGAAAAAAGATAAGGATGTAGAGAAGTCTATTGGATTTGGCAAGTAGGTGGTAACAGGTAACAATGGATAGAGAATTTTTAGTGATATAGTGGACAGGTGGACATGAGGGCGAGAGCAACTAGCAGTGGTTTGAAGAGTGAATAGAAAGTGAGAAAAGAAATAGAATTACAGATAACTCTTTAAGAACTGTGGCTGTGCCACAGCAGAAAAGGATAAATCAGTATTGGGGAAATGTAAAATCAAAGGGAATAAAAGGTTAATATTATCATCATTATCATTACAATAAGTTGTCTAAGACATATTTCCCTCTCCTCTCTTTTATTATTCAAAATGGGATTAACCATATTCTATTACCAAATAAAAACAAACCCAGGCTTAGGTAAGGAGAGACTTTATTTGAAAAGACTATTGCAGGGAAAGCACCCTGCTCGTAATACCTGCAAGCACCTGAGTGAAGGCTGAAAAGAGTTACTTTCATAGGGAAAAGTAAAACAAGGCTGGAAAGAACTGGGTGTGAGGAGTTGGGTGAGCAGGTGCATGATCGAGCAATTGAATGGGAAATTATTCTCTTTGGGGTCAGCTGATGCTCAGAAGGGCCATTAATGCTTGCTTAAGTGCCCAGTGCTGGCATAAAATCAAGAGTGGGTCAAAGTTCAGGGGCTTCGGGGAGGAGAAAACCAGTCTTAAATTCAGTCAAGTCAAATTAGCAGGCAGTTTTGTCCATTTGGTCAGTAGGACAACAGTGCAGCTAATCATTTACGAGCCAAAGAATGGGAATTGGGTCTTGTTATAGGTAAACAAGGCAGGCATATGAGTCTTATGCAGAGGAGGGTGGTTTTTCACATCAAACTATTTCCAAGACATTAAAGGGTGGGGAATTTCTTAACCATGGCTGTTTTCCAGGAACCCAAGGCTCAGGCAAAGTTCAACATTGTCACTAACAACCTGAATCCCATACAGAACAAATTAAGAAACATAAATTGTTCTCTTGTAGAAATGATTATTAGAGTTGTAAATTAAGAATAAAATGCAGAATCTAAGGACAAAAGAAGGTACATCAGATTCAGAGTGGTAAAGTGAGGGCCTTAGGCAAGATTGAGTCCAACGTCAGGCTGCCATGGGATTTCCGTGTCAGGCCAGCTAAGAGCCTCAGTACTATTTGCCCCTGGATGACAATCATTCCTTAGGTTTGTTGAGCACTTGACCCTTGACTGACAATGAGCCATTCACTGGATCCTCACAACTTTATTACAATCCCCATTTCACAGATGAGACGACTTGGGCTCATGGATAAGTGAGTGGTAGGACTGAAATGAAATCTCAGAGTTTCTGTTCATAAGCTCAATCGCCTTTTCCCCAGGTTACCAGTGCTCCCTATCATCTACCTTCATGCTGCCTGCTGGTGTGTGGTGTTCATGCGTAGGGGACTGAGTGCCATGCGATGCCCGGGAGCTGACTTATGGTGGGCTCAGCACAAGGCTGGTGCTCCCAATAATGCTGCTTATTATTAATAGTGCTCATTTCCTCCTCTGTGAAATACTCCAAAGCCATGGAGTGCCCCAAAAGAGGATATTCTGAGCAGACAGGCTGGGGACAGAGGTGTGAGGGCAATGATGACAGGGAGCTTTTCCACGCTTTTTTTATTTTAAGCAAGATGCCTAACAGCAGCCACAGCACTGCATGGAACAGCAACGACTTGCTTAAAAGCCATTTCCATTTTTATACAATGGAAAAATCCAATCTCTCTCCACCTGCTCTGTCCCCAACTCCTCGGCCTTGACTATGAAAATCTGGGCCAATGCCGGCTAATAAAGGAGATCGATAACCATCCAGCTATTTTCACAGCAACCCTCATATTAATGAGAAGCTGCTCTGGATGAAGTTCTATAAATGGGGCTGCACGGATGGTTCTCCACCACAATAAATTGCCACAGGGTTGCTAATCATTAATGGAGTGTTCTAGGGTTGCGATCAATTCAGGGCCTCATTTGTCCCTACCTGCAGCCACACTACGTAGGGGAGCAAACTGTTTTTTTACTTAAGAAAGTTAAAAACACATAAAATACGCACCCATACAGAGGCAAAATAAGCCCTACATTGAGGAGATAGTTTGAAAAGTTCCTGAAACTCATTTCCTGTGCCAATATATGGAGACCTGCCGGTTAATGCAAGGAGACATTCTTCTTTAGAAAGAGCAAGATTATGAATTTCCCCTTTCTGATATTCACCAAGCTGGGATACCTCTTTCCTGCTTAGGTTTAGACTATATAATGAGTTCATCTTGCAACCACAATACTATACAATGTTCTTGTAAAGTCAATCACAGGAAAGGTAGAGAAAATGAGAAATAGGTTCCCATGGCCCCCGAGGCTAATTCATACAGTCTCTGCCCAACTCATCAGCCTCCCCACCTCTCTCTATGCAACCCAGTCTCTTGAGATGGTATTTTACGTGTTGAGTAAACCATGCTCTCTCTTAAAATAGGACCTGTGCATGTACTTTCTATCAGCTTCTCCCCACCTATGTATGCAGAGTTAATCCTTTAACCTTCTTGCATCAACTTAAACATCCCTTTCTCTGGGAAACTACCCTCACTACCCATATTTGATTGGCTCTGTCTTTTATGCCAAGATGGCCCTTGAACTTCTGTAATACTACCTACACTTACGATTGCTTATTTAGCATCTCTTCTCTACCTGAATATAAGCTCCATGAAGACAGGGACCATTTGTGTCTTACTCACTACTTTATCTAGAGTTTAGTTCAGTGCCTGGCACAGAGTGAAAACTTAAGTGGAAGAAGGAATAGTTTAATGGAAGCATAAAAGAAGTGAACAAATGAATGAATGAATGAATGGATACACATGTGCATGAATAACTTAATAAACAAAAACAACCAGGGAATAGAAAGTTATCCACCTACTCGTCCCGTAATTCCTCCCACCTCTGTACTCATTAGGCCTTTCACAGTAAGTTTCTTTTTTCTTTTTTTTCCTTTTTGTCTTTTTTCGTGACAGGCAACGGGATCGCAACCCTCGGTGTTGCGCCCACACCTCGCTCAGCCAGTGAGCGGCTGGTCTGTATGTGGGATCCGAACCCTTGGCGGGAGCGCCGCCACACTCTCAAGCGGCGCACTGTAGCAGTGCGCCACCGGGCCAGCCCCCACAGTAAGTTTCTTAGGACCAGCTTAGAGACCTAAGTCTCTGCAACATTACATCTGATATGTTTTTCAAACTGAGACCTTACTCCACTGCAACCTCGTTAAGTGATGCAATTATATCCTGTCCATCTTCACATTGAGGGTCGAAGACCCATCTCCCCCCAAAAACCTGTACACAGAAAAGTTTTATGATTTTCCAATAAAAAGAGTTAAAATGTCATCATTTGATATTAACATTCTAGTAAATTATCCTTTTTAAATTACTTGTAGTAGCAGAGAGGAGTGGAAACATAGGAAGAGCATTTTTATTTAGTCTTACCATGTAGAGAGAAGAAAACCACCAGATTTATCTATGCACTTTTATTCACACACATACAGCACTTGTGCTCCTGCCTGAGCTTGCCCTTCTATGCAGCAATAATTTCCTTGCAAAAGAAGAGATTGCAAAGCTAGTGCTCCTTTCACTACTGCCCCTGAGAAATGACCCAAGGTTATACCAGATGTTTGAGTCACAGGAGTTCAAAGCTCTTGCTGGGTACCCTGCCTAGAGGGGAATGTAGAACCCAGGTTTAGTGACATCAGCAGAGGCTCAGTGCCAGCAGTCCTCCCAGCCAGGGCCCAAGCCTCCCAGCAGCCCAGAAAAGCAGCCTCGCCAACCCTTGCTTTGTCTGGCGGAACCCAGGACAGCAGGTGGTGCAAGCAATACCTTTGGCAATGAGTATTTGGGCAGCTTTATCTGAGCAAAGGCCTCTCTTCGATAGGACACGTAGTAGCTGGCTCTTCCACCACTTGTTACCTGGATAGTGGGAGAAAAAAAGAGATCAGATGAGGCCACAGATCATGGCACAAACTGAAATGTATAGGCCTCTCTATCAACAACCACAATAGGTTTGTAATTACGTCTTAGAGAGTATCCGTTGCTGGTTTTGATTGTCCAATCCCATGGCACCCTGAGTAGCCCCCAGGTCATGGCACTTAGACAATAAGTAGACAATTACAACAGTCTTTCCCACTGACTGACATTATCCGTGACAGCAAGGACCGACTCTATATTTGGTCACTGTGCCTGCATATGGTACAAGCCTAATAAATATTTTCAACTGGAAACAGAGACACCATTAATGTGGGCTGCACCCATGGTCTTTTTATTCTGCTTTTAAAAAAAAAGTTTTCTAATCCATTGCAACAATGACACAATTGTCAGTTATTTTTTTCTGGATCTGAATAATCACTATTGCTCAAATCTCTCATTACTTTGAAATTTAATTTCGCTTCTGATCTTAGCATAGATTTTTTTTCTTCCTGTTTACAAATCCATGCATTGAGCAGATATTCATTGATTCTTTCTGTGTGCAAGTTACTTAAAGTCATCAAAGGGCAGAGGAAGAACTCCAGATTTGAACTTCAGAAATCCTGGATTTGAGTCCCAGCTCTGCCATCTCATGGGTAGGAGGTCAAGGAGAAGCCCTGTAGCCTCTCTTGGGAAAAGATGGATTCTTAGTTGGAAGACTTGGTAACCATTCCAAGAGATGGTCCTCTGGCTGGGGCTTGCTGAAAAGTCCTGCCAACATGGCACATGTCTGCAGATGGCTGCTCTCAGCCCTATTATCTTAACTCAGGGGAAATTAATATTCACAGGAGAAGATAACATGGCCTGTTCAGAGAAAATAGCAGGATAACAATAGCAACCAGGCTGCTGGGCTGGGGAGGCAATTACTCCAGGCACATGCTTCATTCTCACTAAGACCCAAGAACATGCTGGAGACAGGCCAGTCCTCCCACTCCGGTCCAAACCTGGTGCCCATCCACCACAACTGCTGGGAGCAGAAGGGGTGTAATATCTCTACTGAAAGCCACCCATCACTGCTTACTCCAAGAGACGGTATCTCTCATGGCTTTCCCTTGCTCTGCACAGACTGGAAGCCCACAGAGCAGGCACCATGAGCTGCCAGGTAGAGCAGATGTTAGTGTCAGCACAAAGGCAGGGCCTTGGAAAAAACTAGGTACAAAAGCTTAGGCTGTGAACCAAGAGGAGAGACTGGTTTTCTTCTTGCTGTTCAGCACTATCCCTAGGTCTCTATTTTCTAATTAGAATCATTCTTGTCTTGTAGTCCAGGACTTCCATTTTCATTTTGATAACACATTTGTTCTGAATCAGTATTGTTCTGTTTTGGCTTAGAAATGGGTGCTGACATATTAAGACCAATGGGTTGCTGAGAAGTCTCTTTTTATTTTTTTTTTTTAATAATGTCTCTAGTGTATAGGATCAGATTAAAATATCATCTTTGGATCTGGACACACAGTAACCATTAGCCCTTGCACGATTCTAATTTACTTACTTGTTTTTTTGTTTGTTTGTTTGTTTGTTTTAATTATAAGACCAACACATGTAATCGTATCTGCCAACCCAATGACTAGATCAATAAAT